TCCTAGCACTTGGGAGGATGAGGTAAGAGGACTGTGGGTTCAAGGCCAGCCTCAGCTGCATAGCAAGACCCTGTCTCAAAAAAAAAAAAAAAAAACAATAAATAGGACTGGGATGTGACTCAAGTGATAGAGTGCTTGCCTAACAAGTGAGATTGAGATGCCCTGAGTTCAATTCCCAATACTGCAAAATAATAAACAAAAGAATTCCTGCACACCAATAAGAGAAAAATAGACAACCAAATAGAAAAAAAAGAAGCAAAGACTTCATAAAAATCTAAATGACCAATAAACCAGAAAAGGATCTTACTTTAATTAGTAATCGGGAAAATGCAAATAAAAACCACATTGAAATACTGCTTCATTTAAGATTGTATGCAATCTAAGAGGCTGACAGTATCAAATATTAGTAAGTATGAGAACAGAAGCAATTCTCATGTACTGCTGATGGCAGCATGAATTGGCACTATCACTGCAAAATAGGTCATAATCTAGCAACAAAGACACCATTTCCACTCTTGGGTATTTACTCTAGATAAACTTGAGTACCTGTTTACCAAGATACACAAGAGCATTGTTTGTAACTGCCTAATCTGGAAACAACCCAAATGTTCATTTGCCAAAGAATGGATAAATAAAATGATATATTCATATGATAGAATACTCTACAGAAGTGAAATGGAAAAAAAACAACACCAACATGGATAAATGATAGAACATAATTTTGGATGAAAGAAGCCTGCTGTACAATTCTTTTATGTGATGTTCAGAACAGTGCAAACTATACTGTTAGAAATGCCTATAAGGATGGAAAAGCTATGCAGAAAAGCAGGGAACAGATCATAAAGGTCAGATAGGAAAAAGGGGGTTTTAATCAAAGAGTGGACCTTGTAAGTGGCTTCCAGTGGTATAGGCAATGTCTGTCCTGAACTGAATAGTGCTTACATGGATATCTACAATAATTCCTTAAATTACAATTATATATCAGGCACTTTTGTATTTGTGTGTTTTTGGCAGTTTGAAGTCAGGCCCTTGACATTGCTAGGCAGGCTATCTTTATGAGTGTATTGTAATCATACAAAATGTTTAGAGTTGCAGGTATAGCTCAGTGGTAGAGCACTTCTCTAGCACATGCAAGGCCATAGTTTGATCCCTAGCATCACCTAAAAAAGAAAGGTTTAAAATGTTTCTTGAGAGTCTGAATAAGCATTCTAATTTACATATGCAGTATTTCTTTTTGTTCAAAGATATAATGCTGATCCTTTGCAAGTAAATATGAACCTTTTTAAGTGATAGAAAATATGTAACTGGACACTAGAATATGAGAGCTCTTTCTCGTGACTGAGAATGGTGAAAATGCAGAGAAGACATGCATAAGTAGCAGATATTCTCTAACATACTTCTAACAAATCTAGAGTATTCTGAGAGATAAACAGGGAAGACTTGCCATGATTCTGTGGTCTGAAATGATGCACTATGGCCTTCCATGATTCTGAGCTATGCTGTCTTTGTTCTATCCTTACAAAACTCTTCCTCAGCAGTAGGGAACCTGGGGCAGGTGGACTGTGAGTTCAAGCCAGCCTGGGCTGCATAGTGAGACCCTGTTTAAAACAATGAGTTCTTCCTTGGGAATAATGCTTTCTCTGATAGTTGAGCAGGGAAGAGGCACGGTTAACAACTGTCATCAAATAACCCCACAAAAGATGCTATTCATCATTAGCCACCAGGGAACTGCAAATCGAAACCACAATGAGAGTGAGTGCCTGTGACTCATGCCTGTAATCCTAGCTACTTGGGAGGCAGAGATCAGGAAGATAGCAGTTCAAAGCCAGCCCAGGCAAATAGTTCACAAGACCTTACCTTTAAAATACACAACACGAAACAGGGCTGGTGGAGTGGCTGAAGTGGTAGAGCACCTACCTAGCAAGTGTGAGGCCTTAAATTCAAACCCCAGTACAGCCAAAAATAAACAAACAAACAAACAAAAGCCCACAATGAGATGCCACTTCACATCTCTAGGATGGCTGTATTCAGAAAGACAGAAAATACATGTTGGTGAAGATCTCTGGAGAGAGTGGAACTGTATATATTGTGAAATGCAATATAAAATGCAGTTGTTTTGAAACTGAAATACAGTTCCTCAAATGTTTAAACATAGTATTACTATACAGTTCTGCAGTTTCAAGAGAAATTAAAACATACATCCACATAAAAATTTGTATCACAGAAGCATTATTTATAATAGCCCAAAGTAGAAATATTCCAAATGTCCATCTGCTATTGAATGTGTAGACACAATATACCTTAAAAATGGATGAACCTTAAAAACCCAATGCTAAGTGAAAGAAGCTAGATAAAATGTTATGGTTCCATTTGTATGAAATGTCTAAACTAGGCAAATCCACAATGACAGATAGTAGATTAGTGGTTATCTAGGACTGAGAAGATGAGGCTAGAGTGTCACAGCTAGGGGCTGCAGAGCTTCGTTGTGGAATAATAACAATATTCTAAAATTGACTGTGATATAGCCATTTGACTTCTATTTTTCTGAATAGCTAGTGGCAGAATAGCTAGTGGCAGAATGAGAGGTAGGTGGCTGTGAACAGGGAGTGGGGGCCCTGGACAGCAGAAAGGGTTAATAGTAGTATAGGGTATGAGCAAGAGTTGACCCACTGACTGACTAAACCTGGGCTGGGGACTGTTGAGCTTAGTGCATGGACATGTAAGATCCCATTCTTCCAACTGGGAGCTGGCATTGAAGTGAGCAGAGGTGGGGGCCCATTGAGTTGCAGAAGTGCAAACTGTAGGCAAAGTCTCAGGGGAGGGAAGACAGGATCAGCTGTGAAGTCCAAGGTCCTGGCTAGAAGGAAGAAAGGCAGACCTGGCAGGTTACAGGATTTGAAGAGAGAGGCCACCCAATACAGAGGTCAGCAGGATGACACACCCAGCACAGAGGTCAGCAGGATAACACTGGCCAGCTGAACAGAATGAAGTGGGAAGAAGAAGGGAACAAGCAGATTTGACTTTGAGAATGTCTAAAGTGCCCTGCATGGTTTAATACAGTAGCCACTAATCTCATGGGATTATATATGTGTGGTGAGACTGAACTGAACTGTGCTACAATGTAAAATACACAATGGATTCCAAAGACAATATGAAAAAAATGTTGAGTGTTTCATTAAATTTTTACATTGACTACATAGTTATGCTTTTTTTTTGAGACGGTCTTGTTACGTAGCCCAGGCTGGCCTGGAACTCGTGATCCTCCTACCTCAGCCTCCCAAGTGCTGGGGTTGCAGGAGTGCTTCACCAAGTCCAGTAACTACATACTTAAATGATTACATTTTTGATATATTAGATTAAATAAAACTGAATTTTACTTGGTTCGTTGACTTTTTTTTAACTTGACTACTAGGAAAACTTAAATTCCTATGTGACTTACATTACATTCCTGCTGCATAGCACTGCACATGGATTGTGTATGTCATGCCTGTGGCCTCAGCATTTAAAGCAGGGACTTGGCACAAAGAGGCTTCACTGAATGATGTCTATGTGTGTGAATTAATGATTGAATGGATGAGTGAATTTATGAAAGGATAAATGGAGATTATAGTTTTCAAGAAGTTGGTTAACTTTTATATTGTTGAGGATTATACATGATTATGCAAATGATTAAAAGGGAAACAGGTAGTTAAAATTGAGGAGTACTAGCTGGGCACTGGTGGCTCATGCCTGAAGTCCTAACTACTAGGGAGGCTAAAATAGGATTTTGGTTTGAGGCCAGCCTGGGCAAATAGGTCAAGAGACCCCCATCTCTAAAATAATCAGACCAAAATGGACTGGAGGTGTGGCTCAAGCAGCAGAGCACCTGCTTTGCAAATGCAAATCCCAGAGTTCAAACCCTAGTCCCACTTTAAAAAAAAAATTGAGGCATGTTTATGAAAGCTTTGAAATAGGGAGTCTCAGAGCATTTTATGGGGACTCACTGTAAGGGTTCAAGAATCTAGACCCTTGCCTCACCCCTCCTCTTTTTTTTTTTTTTTATCTTTTAAAAAGGTACTTCTGTAGCACTTTCTACATCATGCCAGGGACTGTTCTAGGCATTTTGCATGTATTAGCTCATTTAAACTTCACATCTACACTGTGAGGTACGGAGAAGGAAAGTAAGGCACAGAGATGTTAAATAGTTCACTGAGGATCACCCAGTAAGTGATGGAACTGGAATTCAAACCAGTTCCTTTTTACATCATCCTGCCTTCCTGTCATTTTGCCTCATTCCCAAGCTTCTCTCTACCATAGACACAGGTTTCTTTCTTCTCCCTACTGGTCACTCTTCCATCTCCAGTCCCTCGAACCTCACATTCCTGGAGAAAGTTCTCAATGAACCTTGCTTATAGAAACACTTGTAAGTACCCCCAACTTCCCCACAAATGAGACACAAACTATCATAGCTACACAAATACAACAGCCTGTTAACCCTGCCTCCCCCATCCCTTCTGCCTCCTTCCCTGAGCCTTGTCTACACCTTACTCCTCCTCCACCCATGAGTCTTCTCTCCCAGACCTGGGTTGTGTCCTCTCCTGCCTCCAAGGAAGTGAGTGTTAGAAAAGCCTGAGACTTCATAGCTCTGAGCAAGGATTTGCCTGACAGTCTAGCAGATGCCTGAGAATTGACTACAGGAGTACAGAATAGGGGCCTTTCCAGATACCACTTTGGCCAGTGACTAGAGGGTACATTTCAACTCCCCCCAATCAGAGATTCTTTTTCTGGCCTCACTTTTAGATACTTCTAGTAACACAGTAACCCTGAATTTCTACACACTTTGAGACGTTATCCAGGAGATGTCTCAGTCCCACCCACTAGAGACTTCTATTCTATCTATTGGATACCTTCAGTGACACACTAGCCCTGAGTTTCCCCCACTGGGAGCAGCCTCAGCCCAAGAGCTCCACCTTCAGGACCAAACACAGGCTGGAACACTAAAAAGGAACCAAAAGCCCACCTTCCTCTCTTCTGTCTCTTATTAAATTGTGAATAATAATGCATTTACTTATTCTCCCACTTAGAAAGTTGTTTAAATCCTTTGAAGAATCTTGCAAGGTAGCTTGGCTAGACAGCAGGCAGGACAGTCCAGTGCCTCTGGTGGGGAGGCCAGGGTCTTCCACTCGCCTGTTTTCTGGTCTAGCAAGTAGGCATTTGGATTAATGGTATAGTCCTTTGTCTGGACATCGCTGGCTGTGGTGACACCCCCACACACAAACACCTTGCCATCTCCAATGGAGCATATAGCATGGGACACATCCAAGGGACAATTGTTGGGCAAGAGAGGCACTGAGGTGGTTGTCTTGTTGGCCTTTATCTTCTGCAGGTTGATTTCCACACTCTGCCGGTGGCTGTGCACGCAGAGGATGTTGTCCTGATAGAAAGAGAGCAGGGGCCGGTGATTGAACTCAATGGGGAAGGTTATACACTGGACCACTTCACCAGTGTTAGTGTCAAAGCAGTCCACTACCCCAACCCGGGAGATATAGCCCTTCACCAAGCACCGCCCAGTGACAATGTACAGGTTCCGGTCACCCTTGGTGATCACAGCTGTGCCATCCATAGGGATGCTCATCTTCCCTGCCAAGCACCAGGCCTCCTTGCGTTCATCATACCGATAAATGTTGGAGACGTATCGCCTTGGAGCAATGCTCCCACCAACTGAGTAAACTGTCCCCCCACAGGTCACCATGGTATGGAAGACAAGCCCAATGGGCAGGTCAGGCAACTTGGTCCAGGAGTTGTCATCCATGTCATATCGCCAGGCGGTCTTCAGCCCTGAAATCTGCTCTGTGGTGCCACCAGAGATGTAGATGTAGCGACCAGCAGTGGTGGCACTAAGAGCTGCTGCTCGATAGGGCATCTCTGAGAGCTTCAACCACAGATTCTCCTGGATGATATAGGCAAATACGCCATCATTGAACTTGCCATGGGCCTTTTGGCCACCAAGGATGACCACGGAATCAAGCAGGGCCCCTTTCCGCTGGTAGCTCAGCAGGCTGCAAGGCCGCTCCTGCTTGCGATCCATCAGGACACTCTCAATCAGGGTGGTCTGGGCTAAGCTGTTCTCCAGGCCCATCAGCTTGTTGCTGGCAAACATCAGCATCTTGTTGGAGACAGCATTGAGATTGATGTAATTGAAGAACTTCTTAAAATACTTTTCCCGCTCTTCCTTCCGGAAGTACACCCAACTGATTAGTGCATTGAGGGCCTGGTCCTCATTCAGCACATGAAGGTTTTCATCACGGAGCAGACGGCCGAAGATAACAGGTGGGCAGCGCATGAAGTGCATGGAGCCCTCAGGACTGACCCAGAAGTGGAAGTTGTCGCGAATGCCAGAGTAGGCCAAGTCTGATACCTCTTTGAGCTCAAACAGTTCAGCCAAGAAGAGATAGCGCAAGCAGTTGGCACGGCAGATGGACTTAATAAGGAAGTCGTTACAGTGAATTCGAAGGCGTGGTATGTTGAAATACTGGGCACCCCGAAGCAGCTCCTCCACGTTCTGCTCAGAGATCACCACCTTGCCACTGTAGAAGTATTCCAGGAGCTGGTCCACTGTGGCTGGACTCAGGTAATTGGGGTCAATGGTGATGAAGAGCTCGTCAGTGGTCTTCATGTCATTGCTAAAGATGAGGCTCTTCACCAGGGGAGAGACAGCAGCCAGTACATTGCGATGTGCAAAGAAGACATGATGGTCCACAGTGAGGGCCATGTCCCAGTACTCTTTGCGTTTCCTCTGTTTGTTCAAGTTCTGCAGCACGAAGCTGTTGTAGTTTTTCTCAGTGAATTCCAATTTCATGGTGTTTCTTGGTGGCTGAGGCAGAAGATCAGAAGCAGGTACTAGAGAACAGACTTTCTCAGGCCTTTGGGATTCAGATTGATGGTTGTTTGCAGAGCAGTTGACCAGAGAGGACTGGGGGTGGGAGAGAGGATGATGTCATAGAGTGGGTGAGGTCATCACAATGTAGCCCCCTGAGGTCTTTCTCAGAGGCACAGGGCCCTTTTCCCCTTTGATGGCTCCAACTGACCAGACCAGATACTCTACCAGGACCTACAGCCTAAGACCTAGAGCCCAGACCAGAGCTTCTTCCCTGGAAGAAACTAGGGAATGGGCTGTGTCTTTTGAACCTTAGTTCAAGGCTTCTTCTGGAATGTCAAAGCTGGTTTGGGGTGGGGGACAGTAGGAAACCCTATATGTAGGGGAGATAAGAGAAGGTGGGGAAAGGAAGAGGTTATCAGTTCATCTAGAAGAATCCTCCTAGACCCTGAGAAGAGAAAGGACTTGCACAAGGTCATAGAGCCAGTTGGAAGTAGAGCAGGCCCTGGAACCCAAGTTGTCTCTAATTTAGGGCTTTCTGCCCTTCAGGAAGCCCCCAACCACTCAACTTTCCACAGTCTCAGGCCTCAGCCCTTTCTCTGCCAAGAGTGGGATGTCCCCAGACTCGCCAACTCTGGCTCCCGCCTGCACCCACTACTGCCTGGTGGAGTTCCCTGGGCACATCCATGGCCAGAGCCCATGCTGTGTAGCAGAGGAGCCTATTGGCCCCAATTCAACTAGACCTTGGGGGCTCCCGGGAACGTCCCTTGCACTGCAAGGTGGTGCCACCCGGACCTTGCTTAGGTAGATCTGGGCTCCAAGTTCCACTCCAGACCCTCAGATGGTCCTGATAGCCCCTCCCAGGAATACATAGTGTCAGCTTCAGATCTTGAGTGGCTCCAGCTTTTCCCTTCCTGGCTTCTGGATCATGTCTTCCTTCTCCTTTCATTCTAGACTGAACATTTTCCTTATTTTGGGATTTGGTCATTTGAATTTTATTTTTATTTACTTATTTTTGTGAAACGGGTTTGAACTCAGGGCCTTGTGCATGCTAAGCAAGCACTCTACCACTTGAACCATGCCTTCAGCCCTGAAAATTATCTTAAAAATAATTACTCTTTCTGTTCACCTTGATGCCTGGACGGGATAGAGTTTGAGTCTGGGGTATGATGTCGACATAAGGCTCAGCTCAGTGCCCCTGTTGCGTCTCTCCCTTAGAGAACACGTAAGTGCTAAATGCTTCTCCAGCTCCCATCTGAGAAGCAGCTGAAGGAGACCTCTTGGTGTTGATGCTAACACTCCTGGCTCCCATTGGCATCCAGGCTGGCATCTCCCTAGGAGTAGGTCAGTGGGTCGCAGAGCACAGGGCAAGACGCTTGCTCATCAGATGCCTCCAGCCAGAAACTAGGCCTGGAGATTGTCATAGAGACCTATCAGACCTCCAGCTGGACAAACAGGCCTAGAGAGGGAAACAGGTTTTCTCAAATACACAGATCTGGGGCTTGACTCAGGGTTATGTCTCCTTTCTCGCCCTCTGGCTGCAAAGGAGAACAATCTGGCTTTTCCTCTGCTTTTCTTGGATTGTGGGCTTGCTGTCTTCAAGGAACTGAGTACCTATAATCTCAGCTACTGGGGAGGCTGAGTCAGGAGCGTCTCTTGAGCCCAGGAGTTCAAGGTCACCCTGGACAATATAGTGAGATCCATCTCAAAGAAACAAAAAAAAAGCAAAAGGATGTGGCATGGCAGTACATGCTTGTAATCCCAGCATTCAGGAGGCTGAGGCAGGAGGATAGAGAGTTACATAGTGAGATCCTGGCTCAAGAGAAAAAGAAAAGGAAGTCCATGAAATAACTATAAAGTGGGGGTGCTCAGCTGGCCTTGCTGTCTGACTTTTCTTCAGTCCTGGAAAGCAGCTTTTTCCTTAATCCTACCAACTGTGCAAACAGACTCCAGCCTACAGAGGCTGGCTGCATGCCAGCTTCCACCACCTGGCTATGTGTGTATTGGTGTCCCTAGGAGCCTCCAGGAACTTCATTGGCAGCTTGCCTGGTGTGGCCAGAAGAGGACCTCCTCTAGGTCTTTTCACTTCACCCACCCTCAGCTTCCTGCCCAGCTCAACATTTTCTATCACGGAGCCCTAGGAGAGGGGATACTAATATTCTAATCTTTGGGGATCATCAGTTAATAAATCAGTTTTTTGTGAAGCCCTGAAGAAAACGAGGGGCAAAACATAGAATGGGCCCAGAACTAGAAAGCTCAGAAACAGTCTCTTTCAGTACCTCCTCCTCTTGCACCTCTAAAAACTGTCTTTCTTCAGTCTTTCCCACTCATAACTTAGCCGCACATGGCTTTGGCTTCCCATGGCCTGTTTTGAACTCATGGCATCCTTAGTTTTTCAGTTCCATTGGCAAATTGTCTCCAAGTATCTTAGCTCAAATTCCCAGTCCATGCCCAGCCTAGGAATTGGCTGCCCTTGGAGCAGGTGTCCACTTTAGTCCAATAATCTGTGTGCTGGTGGGTCACATGGTATAAAACTTATCTGCTTAAATCTATAGGGGAGGGGCTGAGGGATACCTGGACATGAGTTACTCAAGAAACTAATTGTCTCAGCCACCCACTTGGAATCAGCATGAATCACATTAGAGGAAGATACTATACAAAAGAAAAATTTTTATTGTCTTATTAGTCAATATCCCTGGATGAAATGAGGGCACAGCATGAGACATGTTCACAGTGCAATGCAGACCTTCAGAAAGCTGTTTCAAAGACTGGCCAGCAATCCCCTTCCTGGACCCCTGCTACCTTGACAGAGGGAGAAGCCATGTTTCAAGGACTCTCAGCTGGTCATCTGGGTTGGTCCATCTCATATGGACCTTGTAAAACTATGATTCCAGGGAACTTTGTCTAGTTTGAGGCAAAACATAGAACCACATTAGCATTTCTAAGCCCCTTGCCTGGGACACCACCCTGGAACATTTGGGGTTGTCACACATTCCAGAAGGGAGTAGCAGCACAGCTGCAGCCACAACTGCCAGGAATAGGCCTGGGCTTCTGCCGGGTGGGGGCAGGGCCCTGAGTGAGCTCACCCTAACCCGCACACCACTGACTTCATTGGCCCAAGTCTGCTTGGCCAGGAGCCCAGGCAATGTGAGGGGCTCTCTCCTAGAAAAGGCCGGGCCACGTAAGGGGGAGGGGTATGCATCCAGACTTGGCCCAACTTCCCAGAAACCAGGGGTAGCACTCTGAGCTCTGAAATGCAGCAGAGTTTAAGAAAAAAGATGTGTGGGGATAAGAGGTGTAGTGGTGGTGGTGGAAGTTTGCTATTTAATGGTTTAAAAATGTAAGGAAGTGTTTGTTCTCCATTTGTTCTTTGGCAATTCCATAAGAGAACCCCAGGAGACATGCTGAATGACATCATGTCTTCCATTGAGAATGTCCATGGTTCTGTGAAGTGACTCTGGCTGCCCCTTGTTTCCAACACAGGCTGCTTTGTGTCCCATTGAAATGAAGGTTTAATACTCTTAAATATCTACCAAAAGTAGATTACAATGCATGAAGGCCACATAAAGGACCTTCACTTCTCAGCATCACAAATATTTGGAATACAAAATGTCTAAGGATAGGTATTAGAAGTAAGAAAGGTACAAAAGAAGTTTGCTTAAAAAATAACAAAAAAAAAATTGATCCCCCCCACCCCTAAATTCAAATAATTGTGTGGGTAACCATTGGGTAAATGTTTCAGACACTCATTCCTCTAATAAGATGAGCTCACACAGAGCTGTATATCCAAGTGTGTGCCCAGAAGATGTTCACCTGCATGGCACACACAAGCACACACACCCCAGGGATAGACATGCAGCTGGGTTTTCATTGTTTTAGGCACTTCATACCCACATTCTTAAGTCTCCCGCTTTCCCATGACATTTGACAAGTTACTTCTTTGGAGGCAGGACATTTTCTTCAAAGAAGCCCTGGTTGACAACATTCCCTGCTGGGAAGTATCTGGCCACCACAAAGGAGGACCCATCACTTGCAGATGCCTTCCCCACTCCCATCTTCTTTGTGTTCTTCCACACCATGGCTGTGAAGTGTCCTGCAGAGAATAGGCAGAGAGGGCAATAGGTGAGGTGACATAGCATTGAGAAAGATGTTGCAAGGAATTCCTGAACCCCTGCACCGTCTTGCCAGGCTTAGGCACCCTGCTCTTTGCAGACACCAATCAGAGGAAGAAGAGACAAAACACATCAGATCCTTCCCTTCTTCCCTTTCTTCCTCCCTCCCTCCCTCCCTGCCCGCCTTCCTTCCTTCCTTCCCAGCAACTGCTGGATTTCTAAAGCAGCCACACAGACTTCAGCCTCCTCAACATTTACTTTCTAATGGTCTTCCAGAGATCACAATAAAGGCCAGTGGGCCCCAGCAATTGCAATACCAGCCTACCCAGCATATACTCCCAACCTTGCCCCCCGATCAGCACTCTCTGAGCATCGATCCCTATGTTACTTCCCAATGGTCACTTTTATCTTCATCTTACTTGACATCTCAGGAACACTTACCAGAATCAGCTGTCCCTCTTACAAAACCACTCTCCCCTTTTGAGTTCCATGACATCGTCTCTCTCACTCCTTCTGCCTCTTCATCTTGCTCTCCTACCTCCCTTGCAAATGCTGGAGAACCTACACTTCCCATAGCTCAATTTTGGGCTTTTTGCTTCTCTTTCTACACTACACTTTAGGCAATTTCATCTCTCTCTGGCTCCCAAACTATTTCTCCAGTTCAAATATGCTCTGTGTTCCAGAAACTACTTACTGCACATTTCCACTTAGATGACTCACAGATGCAATCTATCCAAACCTCACTCTCAATTTTGGTCCCCCTCCCCCAGACTTACTCCTCTCCTGACCGTTTTATTTGCATCATCAGTACCTCCCAGGGGTGGGCCTCCATTCTTCCTTTTCCCTAATGTCCCTCCTAAGTATCCACCATTTATTCCTGAAGTGTTAAACTCTAAAATATATTTCAATCCATCTCCTCCCCAGCCCTTGGTCTCAACCACAACTTGTCTCTCTTGGACCACTGCAATAGCTCTCTGACTGGTTCTTGGCATCATCCTTGGCCCTCTCCAATTCATCTTTCACTTACGTAGCCAAAGTGATCATTCTGAGATAGAAATCACATCCATGTACTTCCCCAAGTTAAAAATCTTTTGCTTACTTCCGGTTGCACCTCGAGTGAAAAATAATTCTTCAGCCCAGTGGCCTTCTTTCCATTCTTGAACATGCCAAGTTGTTTCCCACTGGGGAGCCTTGCTCACTCACACTGGCCTCTTGCATAATATGACCAGGCTTTCCTGATGACCAACAGCTTCTTGTCCCTTAGGTCTCAGGCTAAATGTCACTTATTCAAAGAAGACTTGCAATCACACTTTTATTTACCTAACACCTCCCTGGTTTTTTTCCCTTCACAGTATTCTGACCATTTACAATGGCAAATTTGTTTGATCATTCAATTAATCTTTGGTTATGAGCCCCACATAGGCAAAGAATAAGTTTCTTTTATTTACCAATGTATAGCCGTTACCTTGACATAGTGTGGCACATGGAAGTGTAAAATACAGCTTAGGGGTATAGCTCAAGTGGCAAAGCACTTGCCTAACAAGCGTGAGGCCCTGAGTTCAATCCCTACTACCCCCCCCCAAAAAAAAAGTAAAATAAGCTTCTGCTCAGTGAATGAGAGGATACAATAAATAAGTAAAAGTCAAATGAGAGAACCAGCCTGGACTCAGGTTCTGCCTCAGTGGAAGCGCAGGTCTTCTATGTTTGGAGCTCTGAGACCATGGGGCTATAGCCTCACTGGGGGACAATTCTGGGGCTTGCTAAGTCCCCTACATCTCAAGCTGTCTGTTCTCTCATGGGTCCTTCCGAGCTACTTGCATAGCTTGGCTTCCAGCTCTCCTCTCCTTTGGAGTCTAAGGGTTGATGCTTTAATGAACTCTGAGCAATCATACATTCCTTTGATCTCTTGGGAGCAGAGGTCAGGCATTTGTCCCTCCCATCTTTAGTATCTGACATTCACAGAAACCAATGAGAGGCTGCTTATTTCCATCTCATAGGCAGGATAGCATTCACCTGCTAAGCAACCCTAAATGAAGATACTGTTTTTTCCTAAATATGTTATTTGCAATTGGCCCAACTATTTGAGGGCAGGCCCCATATCTATTTTATTGACCACCATATCCCCAGTGTTTAGCAACAAGTAAGGCACACAGTAGACATTCAGTAAGTATTTGATGAAGAAAGGAAGAGAGAGGGAAGGAGGAGGAAAATCATGATTAAAGCAGCTAACCTTTCCACAGAGTAGATAAGAAAGAGGGCAACCACTTCACACCCATTAGGATAGCAATAATAAAAAATAAAAACAGGACTGGAGGCTTGGCTCAAGTAGTAGAGGACCTGTCCAGCAAGCATGAGGCAATGAGTTCAAACCTCAGTACTGCCTCTCCCACTCTAACAACGGAAAATAGCTAGGTGTGGTGTGGTGGTACACATCCAGTGCTATATCCCAGCACTCAGTAGGTTAAGGTAGGAGGATCGTGAATTTGAGGCCAGCCTGGGCTACATAGTGAGTTCTAGGGCAGTCTTGGCTAAACGGTGAGACTCAGTCTCAAAAAGAAGGGAAAGGAAGGGAAGGGAAGGGGACCCTGTTTTGAAACAACAAAACACAAAATAAGGAAAACCCACCCGCCCCCAAAACCCAACGACAACAAAAAAGAAAATAGCCAAATATAAATATTAATCCATATCATTGATAATAATTTTTTGTCAGTATTGGAGATTGAACTCAGGGACTCAAGGTCTCTACCACTTGAGCCATGCCCCCAATCCTTATGATACAATTGAAGCAAGAATTAAAAGAAATTAAACTCTAAGCACAATTTTACAGCCTTACCACATATTCCTAAATGTGGGTTAACTTTTGCTCAATAAACTGGTTTTCTGCTCCTGTTAGAGGAGAACAGTTTCTTGCCCTTTTATCCTTGGTCCTTATAATGTTGGCACTGTTCCAGGAGCCTGGCAGCATTGCCTGGCTTTACTGCCTCTCTAGGTATTCTCTTTGCCAAGGCTCTAGCCCTTTCTTACACAAGCCTTCTCTCAAGAGGCCACATGCTTTTGCCATTGACTGCCCCTTCTCTCTGTCTCCCAGAGAAGGAAGAAGCTGCTATTTATCCACTGGTTGCCAAGCAAATGGTTAGTCACAAAGTGCACATCAGTAGCACAAATGCCTGTGGCAGCTTTTTCCAAAGAGATGAGACTAAGCAATCTTTCCTCTCACTAGAGAGGTTTCCATCTGCACAGAGTTAATTCAGTTAGAGGTATTTAGAGAAAAACAAAAGGACATAACTTCCTTAGCAACCATCAGAAGATTAAACAATAACCACAGTTCTTCTGTCTCCCTCTCTCTCCCTTCCTCCCTTCTGATTTCTTCCTTTCTTCTTCCCTCCTGATTCCTTCCTTCCTTCTCCCCTTCCTCACTCCCTTCTTTCCTCCCTTCCTCCCTTCCTTCCTTTTTGTCCTAAAAGAATCATATCTTCTTTCCTGCTATAGACCCAAACTTCCTAGAATATGCCTTTGAAAAACACACTATGAATAAATTACAGCATATCCTAGCAAAGGAATAATATACAAAAGTAAGAAAGAATGAGAAAACTCTCTGTGCACTGATATGGAACAAACTCTGCTAAATGCAAAACAGAACACATATTCTGACCCCACAGTGTGAAAAAGGGGAAAAGAGAACACACATACACACATGGTGGCATAATCCCAGAATAACTCTAGAATGATACAGAAGAGACTGGTGTCACTTGAGGACTTCTTAGGTGCTAGAGGTCAGGGTTTTATGTAGCTTATATCACTTTCAAACTTCCTACCATGTAAAAGTATTACTTTTCATAACAAACAAGTCTCCTCATTTAAACAGCATATGACAAAGTAATTATAAGAAATGTACCTCTACAAGAGCACATAGCATAACCCAGAGCCCTTCATCACAGTTGCTTGCCAAGGGTGGGCTGAGGGTGCTGGTAGATTCCAGGGTACTTTAAAGGCCCTTTTAGCTGGGTGCTGGGGGCTCATGCCTGTAATCCTAGTTACTCAAGAGGCAGAGATCAGGAGGATTACGGTTTGAAGCCAGCCCAGGCAAATAGTTCGCAAGACCCTATCTATCTTGAACACACACACACACACACAAAGGATTGAAGGAGGGACTCAAGTGGTAGAGTGCCTGCCTAGCAATCATGAGGTCCTGAGTTCAAATTCCAGTATCATTGGCAAAAAGAAAAAAAAGGCCCTTTCACTGCCAATGGACTCTGGTCACAACGGTGTGAACTCCTGAACAATGGTATAGCAAGAAGAAGGTGGAGACTGAGAATCTGGGGGGTGGGAATTGGGGGCCTATGTAGGATGAGCTTGAGGATCTTTGAGGGTCTCATAAACCCCAGTTATAACACCAGCCACTCCTTTCTTAGGCTCAGGGTCCATTTGTCCCCAGGCATTGTCCACTGGACCTAAGATGGCACAAGGGCTGGTTCTCTGGGGTTGTCCCTTTTATGGGTGGGAGATGGCTGGGGCAGGTGATCAGTGATCAGGAGGAGTTGGGTCCCATTCCCAACTCTGACTCTTGTAAGATCCCCACATTAGCATAGGGGCCAGGAAGAGTCATCAGATCTAAGACAGAAGCCATACGAAAAGCCTCTTGCCTTTTGTAGGCATCAGTTTTCTCCTCTGTAAAATGGGCAGAGGAAAGACCATGATATTGTGAGGCTAGTGTGGAGTGGACGTGGAGGTGCTTCATAACCATTAAGTGGTGTGCACACAAACAAGCACCAAGAACTCGCTCTGACATACGTCCGATTACTCAAGAATCTTGTTCATGTGAAAAGCAATTCCAGAAGCTATGGAATCACACATATCTGGAAACTGATCTTTATTAAAAGAAAACAAAGCTCTGCCTACACATCCTTAGTCACCAATCCCTCGCCCTCACTCTGCGGCAATGTCAGTCCCCACTCAGGCCCTGGACAGCAGCCTTCTGCTCCCCAGCCTGGAGCTCTGGAGAAGGAAATGGGGAGGAGAAATGCTCCAAGAGTCCTGACCAAAGGATTGCAAGAGCCTTTGCCCCAGAAGGTGAGCAGAAAGCCACAGGAAACAGTGACTGGCTCTGAGAGCATGTTACTTCCTGCTTCTGAAGAAACCCAAAGAGGCCCAAAGTGGCTCTACTGTGGGTGGGACAGTGGTAGGAGAGGGAGAGAGAGAGGGCAGAAATCCTCCCTTTCAGTTTCCCTGGTGCCTCTGACCACACAGATTCACACCCCTTCCAACTCTGTCCTGAGCCCAGACAGAATCTGAGTCAGTTCTGAGGAAAACAAGGAGGTGGGTGAGGCCAGCAAAGGGGCAGAGGAACCCATAGCACAGAGCTGCTGCCTGAGCTCTAATAAGAGGTGTAGAGGAGGAAGGTCCCCACAGAAGGCTCCTCCTGCATCTGAATCATTGGCTCTTGAAGGTCCCCTAAAGGCCATCACAGTGTCCCTCTCCCTTGGACAAGAAAGAAAAAGAATTGACTCAAGTCAGCCAGGCTCCTGTGGCTCACACCTGTAATCCTTGCTCTTTGGGAGGCTGACATCAGGAGGATCGTGGTTCTAGACCAATCCTGGGTAAAAACTTTATGAAACCTAATATCAATGGAAAAACCTGGATGTGGGGGCACATGCCTGTCACCCAGGTACTGCAGGAAAGACTGAAGTCCAGGCCCACTTGGGCAAAAAGTGAGACCCTATCTCAAAAGTAAACAAGGCAAAAGGGCTGGCTCCTGCAGTAGAGGCTGAGTTCAAACCCCAGTATCTCCAAACGAAACAAAACAAAACTGGCTCAAGTCCACACAACAAATAGTGCCAGAGCTAGGACTAGACCCAGTTTTTCTTAACCCCAAGCTCAGCTGAAGCACAAACTTGAGCGAAAAGGTGCTGGGAAATACCAGGGAGGCAGCAAGGTGTGAAGGGTGGAGGAAGGGTGTGAGAGAAGAGGTTAAGATCAGCCTGACCCTTTTCTTGAGGGCCCCAGGAAGCAACAGCAGGCCCCGGGGCAGCTCTCTGGCTGCCAGAGAGCCTGATGGAGAAACCTAAGCAGGATAACCAGTTAGAGGTGCTGAGACACCAGTTCAGGAACGAAGCTCTCGACAGCTCTAAAAATCCATCTCTTTTACAACACACTGCAGGACTGTGTAGAACCCTGAGCTGGAGGTGGGAACCAGCCGACTGGGGCTCTCAGATGGAGGGGTACATGTGTGGGGTAGGGTGGGGCAGGTATTTGGAAAAGGAGAGCTTTGCAAGGTCAAACCTCAGAAAATATGGAAGTGCTAGTGCAGGAGGGAAATGATTAACTTTCTGAAGGTTAGTTCCTCTCTGAGGGCAGACACCCAACCTGCCACCTACCCAGGCCACTGGTGGGCCCTGCACTCACCGGTTCCTGAGGTGAAGCCAGGCTGCTGGAAGTTGTAGTTCTTGATCTCACTGTACCATCTATCTGCCACCTCCTTTCCTGTATGGAAAAGGCACTGTTCTGAACTCAGCAACAAAGTCCCTTCTCCTCCTCCATCTTCTCCATAAACCCCAAACTACCCATCCCATAATTGGATGTCTGATAAAACACAAAGAACTAAAGAATCTGGGCTGTGCTCTCCAGATTCCTAGGGACTCCTGTCCACGAGCATATCCAGGATGAAGAAAGAGTTTTCATGGGGTCAGGGATCCCAGGATCAAGGAGCCTGCATTGGAGTCTCTGCCCTGCCACTGACTTGCTGTATGGTCCTGGACAAGGCCTTCCCCTCTCTGAGCCTCTGCTACAAGGTTGAATGCAGTACACTCCAAGGGCCTTCCAGTGATGCTCTGAGCTTCCGGGTGACTCCACCCTCATTCTATCCCATATATGGCTCCTAAAATACCCACACGAAGAAAGGCAATTGGGCTGGGAGGCCAAGGGTTGCCTCTGCGGGCAGGAGGGTTCTTAACTGTCCCTCCAGGTGGGGATGCAAGCAAGCATTTTCTAGGAGCTACTGAAGTCAGGGCCAGAGTTAAGAGCCAGGACCGTGGGGCAGTAAGTCTCAAGTTTTAATGTGAACGTGGATCACCTGGGTTTTTGTTAAAACGCAGACTCATTTTCAGTAGGTCTGGGGAAGGGCCTATGATTCTGCATTTCTAATAAGTTCCCCGTGGCTGCTGCTGGCTCATGGAGCACACATTGGCCTCACCTGGGGACCATTTAAAACAAACCTGAGGACTGGGTCCTTAGATTGGTGCTATCAGTTTCTTTGGAGGGCAGAGCCAGGTAATGGTCATTTTAAAAAGCTCTTCGAGCCAGGCGTGGTGGCTCATATCTGTAATCCTAGCTACTCAGGAGGCAGAGATCAGGAGGATTGCGGTTTGAAGCAAGCTGGGGCAAATAGTTCATAAGACCCTATCTTGAAAATATCAACACAAAAAAACAGGGCTGGTGGAATGGCTCAAGATGTAGGCCCCGAGTTCAAGTCCAGTACCGGGGGAAAAAAAAACTAGCAAAAAAACACATAAAAAGCTCTTTGAAAGACTCCAGGGTACAGCAAGGGTGGGAACCATTGCCTTAGGATCCCCCTACCCAACGCCCCTCTGGAGTAACTGGGGCCAGAGAGGGTGGTGACTAGAGCATGGTGCCCCAGGGATCCAAGGCATCCAAGATGAGGCTGGGAAGAACAGCATCTCCCAGGACCATCTGAAGCTCTTTCTATCTTGCACCTTTCTCCCAGCCCACCAAGGCTACAGTCTGGGTCTAGGAGGAGCCTGCAGGCTAGGACAAGGCCTCAGAGGGGGCTGCTGCCTTCCTCACAGCAAGCCCACAGCATCCCGGAGGGAGGGGGCTCTGACTTAAGCTGTGCTAGGGAAACAAAGAGGGCTGGGGGCTCCCCCTGGGAACTCCCAGGAATGTGAAGCTGGGGAGTGAGTCATTCTCCCACTGGGGTTTGAAGAAAGCTCCAGAGGGCAAGACAGCTCTCTCTGGCATTTTCCTAAAAAGCCATTGTCGGGCTGTAAGAGCCAAAGAGTTTGAAAATATTTGGTCAGTGTGGTATGATATTCCATCGGAGACCTTGGATGGAAGAACTGTCTTTTCCGTTAGTTTTTCCAAAATGGAAAAAGCTCTATTTCATTTCCCTGATTATGAAAGTAAAATTCCAGCACTGTAACAACAACAACAAAATTAGAAAAGAGAATGTCCCCAGTAGCTGAGAATGCTGCGGCATCTCAGGATCAGGTTGAGACTGTCCAGAACCCTCTGCCCCTCTGCCCCCACTCCTCAGCCTGGGGGCTCCCGAGGGGTGCTGCTCAGTCTGACTCATCTCTGACCCTGGCTTCCAGTACTGGCTTTGTCCTGAACCAGCCTTTGGAGCCCTTGTGGTGAGGGAACAGAGTCAGAGAACTCTGGGTTTCCTCTCGCTTTCTGGGCTTGAGGCTACATCATGGTTAAATCAGGAAGAGTGCTGGGGTCAGGAGAGATCTGTGGTGGTCCCATCCTAGGCTCAGCTTGAGCAGAGGGAGGGGACCCGAGAAAGACGCACCTGTCTGATCGTAGGATGCCCATGCCAGGTTCTCCCCACACTGGCCTCGACTGGACTCTGGGCTGTGCTTAAGGATCCTCGTGCTGGCCAGGGCCTCGGAATACCTGCCAGAGTCCATGGAGTTTCTTCAGAGAGGGCCCAGCCCAGGGAACCCCCCCAACATCTGAGCCCCAAGCTGGTGTGGCTGTGTCCTTCCCTGACTGGGCTCAGGGAGGAAATAGTGGAGCATCACACCCGCATGGCTTCTGGGCCTCCCAAGAGTCCCATTTTACAGAGGTGCACATTGAGGCTCAGAAGAACAAAGGGACCTGCCTGGGCAAATCACATGGTGGTATTCAAGTCTGGCTGTATTTGACCCCCAAATGCACCACCCAGTGCCCCCTTTGTGACGGCAGCAGCAGCCCCATGAAAGGCCTGAGCCCCCTGGGGTGCTGGGGGACTCACTGCTGAGCCTCTTGGTTGAGCTTCTTGCAGAGCTTCAGTGGGGGAACGCCGTGCTGCTGCCGGTACTCATTGTGGGCCTTCAGGACCTCATTATTAAACTGTTTGGAAGCTAGAAGGATGGCAAAGCAGAGAATGGCTCAGTGCTGAGGAAAGACCCACCGAAGGACAATGGCATGCTTCAGAGCAATGCCCAGTTCAAACCTCAGGCCACATGGAAAGACCTCTGTCCCTTCCCACACCCAGTGCTCCAGATGCCGCTTATCCTTATCCTCCCTCATCTTCCAGGTCCAACCCCCTTGGACTGTGCAGCGTCTTCTGGGCCATGTTGGGGGTTTGGGTCTTCTTTCCAAGGCAGTGGGACGCCACTGAATGAGGACAGGGGAATGAGCTGATTTGACTCAGACTCTATAAGCCGCTAAGCCACAGATGGACAGAGGTGCAAAGCAGATGCTGGGGGACTGGGCAGTCAGCAACAGGACTTCTGAAAGAAAATGTCTAAAGGAGCCAGGCACCGGTGCTCATGTCTGCAATCCTAGCTGCTCAGGAAGCAGAGATCAGGAACATTGAGGTTCAAAGCCAGCCCAGGCAAATAGTTCTAGAGACCCTATTTCAAAAAACCCATCACAAAAAAGGGCTGGTGGAGTGGCTCAAGGTGTAAGCCCTGAGTTCAAATGCCAGCATCACAAAAAAATAAAATAAAATGATGTCTGAAGGAAACTGGGTACCCCAGACTGGACCTATGGGGACTGGGAAGGGCTGGAGTTGGGAATCCAGAGAGAAGCAGACTGGTTGGGGTGGACAGTGCCCACCCTGGACTAGTGAAAACAAGACAGGGGAATAGGTAAAGAAAAGAGGACAAGGGAAGGCAGCCACGGGGATATGGAGTGAGAGGAGAGTGCAAATGCAGAAAAGAAAGTGGGGGATTGAGGGGTGAGGGGAGAGGGTGTGTTAGCTGGGTCCAGGGCCACAGTAAGGGAAGAAGTGACACCTGTGCCCAACTGGGTCATGCACTTAGAAAAGGCAAGGTAACGCTGCTTTGGATCTGAGATGAAACCCCATCCATTCACTATCACATCTATTCAACAACGATCCAAAGTCATTCATCAGTCCCTCCATCCAAACACCATTCATCATCACCCATCCTCCCTTCATCCATCCACATCATCCATTCACACTTCCACCATTCATCCAACATCATCATTTGCTCAACAGCAGCAGCCATCCATCCACCATCCATTCCATCGTGGACCAGCTGTTCATCTGTTCTCACAGTACCTCCTGTGTGTCAGGTCCCACATTGTGTGCTAGAGAGTTAGGGACAAATCGGCCATTCCTACTCAAAAAGCTCACACATAGAAGGGAAGACAGCCTTATAAACAGACAGTAGCAATGTGATAAGTGCTACCAGACAGGTAAGCACAGGTCTAAGAGGAACTTGGAGAAGAGCAACCTAATAAAGTCTGGGGGATCAGGAAGAAGGTTGAGGCAGGTTAGGACATAGGAAAAGATGCCATGGAACTTCTTGGACCTCATGTAACTTATTCTAAACCACCTTATCTCAGCCCAATGCTATCTTTTGCTGTTGTAAATTGCAAAACAAAAAGCCTTGGTGATTCCACCTTCCATTATCCCTCAGATAAAAACATGAATATTGATCACACCCCAGCCCAGAGCCACCCAATCCCTTCACCCATTATTGATGATCAAAAACTGCCCAAGTTTTTCCCCTCCCACAGGTTAGCATGTTTTTTAAAAACTCCTTGAAACACAGAGAGCTCTGTCTCTACTTCCAGCTTCCACATCTGGCCCATGGTGACCTTTTATAACTCCTTTTCCTAACTTATCATTCTCATTACATCTACATATCCTGCCCGGATGCATCCATGTAGGATATAAGAATCTGGAAATTTCCATTTACCAGCAACTACAATAAAATGACCCCTGATTTGAGGCTCCAAAGATGCCATGACAGGTGCTAGCTAAATGAAGACATGAAGGCAATGAGCGCCCGTCTTAGGAGTCCCCCTCTGTGGACAGGGGTGTGGGGGTGGATTGTGAGTGAGGGCCACATCTGACCAGGATCCTTTCCTTTGAGGGCTGTCCGTGGGTGGTGTCAGGAAGGGTGTAAACCGGGGCAAGAAGGAAGTGCCACACTCCTTCCTCCTCCCCAGTCACCTTCACCAGAGCCTTCCTCTCCTCTGCTGCCTTTCCACCCAAGGCTGAGAAGATGGTCCAACAGGGTGTCCTCTTCTCCCACAGCCAAATCCCCTGACTCCTGGGCCTTCAAGGCAATGCTCAGAGAACCCTGGAGGGAGCCCAGAGCTCAGGGGAAGGACCCTGAATGGGCTGCGGTAGCAGAGGTGTCCAAGGGCTTTTTGACAAATTAAAAGAGGAAGTGGGTCAACTTCAAGGGCTCTGGGGCTTGGTGGGGGCTGCCATTAAGGAGGTCCAGTTACAGGAATGTGGCATTGGGCAGGGATGATGGTGAGGGGCTCTGAACTTCAAATATGTGAGGTTTTGATTGACAGGCAGAGATGGGGAAATGAGAACAAAGGCATGAGTTGAGAATGGAGGTGAGAATGTGGTAATGGTGACCAAGCACAAGGAAGGCAGGGTTACAACCAGAAACTCTCCGGACATTGTGGCCAGAGATGGCCCTTGTTGATATGATAGACAAAGATTTCAGGTTTCCTGGGTCAGGAGGAAAAAGGGAGGTGGCTTAGTGAATGTAGAGTTTCAGCTGTACAAGATGAAAATTTCTGGAGCTGTATTTCATAACAGCGTGAATACACTTAACACTACCATTTTAAAACGGTTAGATGGTACATTGCATATTCTGGGTTTCAGGAATTTGGGACATAGAATCACAGGCTTTCAGTGAATGTCTCATGGGGAAATAGTGGGAGCCACAGCAACTCCTGGGCACTGGATGGGGTCTCGTTGATAGTATGCTAAGGAGACAGTAGGGCAGTGTGATCAGAACCACAGGGGCCTCCTGGGTGGTAGCTGCTGCACCCTGTCAGACCCTTGTCTTGCTTGGGAGGTGGAGCCCATCTGAAGGGCATTCAGAGGCTAGAAATGGGGTCTTGGGAGGAGTGGTTTCTCAAGAGCAAACTGGAAGACACAATGGTCCTTGATTAATTCTGGAACCCAGAGGGCACATTTGGGATCAGGAGATAGAAAGAGCAGGATGACAGATTTTCAACTCTTAAGGACTTTGCTTTAGTCAAAGCTTTTTTTTTTTTGTGGAACTGGGCTTTTGAACTCAGGGGTTCACATTTGCAAAGCAAGCACTCTACCCTTGAGCCACACCTCCAATCCATTTTGCTCTTGTTATTTTGGAGAGGGGGCCTTGAGAACTATTTACCCAGTCTGGCCTTGAACCACCATCCTCTGGATCTCAGCCTTCCAAACAGGATTACAGGTGTGAGTCACTGGTGCCCAGCTCAAGTCAAAGTTTTCTGAAGACAGCAAGGGCTCCCTCTCAGGTCGGTGAGCTCTCTGCAAGCAGGTGAGGCCCTCTCAGAGACTACAGTGGGTGAAGACTCAGTCAGATGACCTTCAAGTCCCAATTCTGAGACCCCATAAGGTCCCATCAAGTGTAGGTGAGGGAGATAAGATGAACAACTGACCCAAGACCTCCAGGAGTTTCCTGAGCATTTCTATGGAGATGGTGTGATCAAACCAAGTATATGTGTACAGGCAAGGACACGTGCAGATTGCACATGGTCAGGAGTCCCAGTTTGAATGACAGGCATGTGTGGTCAGGTTCATCCTAAAGTGCCTTCAATTTCCCATATCCAGGAGGGCCATGTGGGTCTAGTGGGACACCATGAGAGATGCCTGAGGCTTGGTGGCATGCACACTGCAACCACAGGAAAGGCTTGCTTGAGGAGGTGCTGCTAGAACAGGAGACATGAGGTACAGGCCAAGGGCACAGAATGGGTCCGGGTGGAAGGCACCTAGGATATTTGAGGGCTCTGGGGAGGAAAGAGAGGTAAGGGGAGTGGGTGGATGGCTCAGGGGAAGCCAGTTTAAAGCAGGCAGAGTGTTGGGGTGAATTTTCACTGGACCCCATGGTGCTGTAGGCTCTGCAGCCTCCTCGGCAGGGAGGGACACAAACGGCTGCTTCAAACTAGGTCACTGCACTCCCAGAATGAGGGAAGTTAGAAGGAGCAAAAGTGAAAGTTGCTGTGAGTAACCCAGGCTCAGTGCCCAGAAGCTGAAGTTAGGCGGGATCCCCAGCGGGCCAGGGGCTCTGCAAGGGTTCAGGTTTTTCCATAAGGAGAAGCAGAGCCCCTCTCACCTCACTAGCTATGAGCATTGGGCCCCCACACCCACCCTACTCCTTGGGCAGTCCAAGGAGTCCCCTTCTACCACAGCGGCCAGGCCCTAGCCCAGGTGAATTTTTCAGAGCAGGGCGACAGCCCAGGGAGACAAGTTATCAATGGTGACCACACCCAGAAAGAGGTACACCCAGCAAGAGATAGAAAAACTCAACGACACAGATAAACATAGGGGGAAAGTCAAAGAGAAAACACCCAGTCCCAGTTAGGCAGAGGGGCCCTCAGCCACCTCATAATGGGGGAAGGGTTGGGCAAACTGTGACTCAGAAAGGTCACAGAGCCTCAGAGTGCCACCCAGAAGAAGGGAGAGGCAGGCCCATGATGATTCTTTCTTCTGCTTGCTGGCCAAGGCTGTTTGGCACTTGGCCTGTGCGTGACCTCATTAACTCTCTCGACTTCTGTGGGACTTTCACTACCATACCCATTTTGTGACTAGTAAACTGAGGCTTGTGAAGGGAAGTAAGCTACACCCCTACACCACACTAGTGGGTGGATGGAAGTTACTATCAAGAGGGAAACTGGATCCTGCCCCCCACTCCAGCCTGTGAGTCACCAAAAGGAATGACAGAGGGGTCACTTAGAAGATGATCAGGTTCAGTGGGTACAGCTAAGGAGAATCATAGAAGGAAAGAGCCCAGGTTGGCTGCTGCCTTCCCATCCCGGAAAGGAGAGGGAAAAAAACAAACAATAACAACAAAATCTAAGATTTCTCAAGAGCCTCCTCTGAGCCAAGGCTCTCAGAGCCAGAACTGCCTGAGGAGTCCCAGCAAGCCAGCAACTGTGGCTCAGAAGTGACCAGGCTGCTGGAGATGGCAGGGGTTTCCTGGGGCTGCTGTTTGTTGGGGTATATGGCACAGGCTGCTCTGGGTCTCTACTGCTGGTGGCTGCATAAGGATTCTGCGCAGATCTGTGTCCCACCACCCCCTCTGATTCCTCCTCCTCCGTGGCTTCCTGTTTCACATCTCAGCCCTCGACAGAGTCCCTCCCATAGAGGCCATGACAGTCAGGGTCCAGGACAAGAACGATGGACAGGTCCCCCTGACCCCTTGGCAAGCAGCAGGAAGGCAGCTTGGGGAAAAGCTGGTTTTACCTGTTTATAAGGAAGAAAGAGGGCTGGGGTAAAGTACTTGCCTAGCATGTGCATGGTCCAGGGTTCCATTCCCGCACTACCAATACCCCACAACAACAACAAAAAAAAAAAAAAAAGAAAAGAAAAAAAAAAATTCTGGATGGGTAACTCCTGCTCTTAAAGCCTAGGTTCCCAGCAATTTAAGGGGCAAATCCCAGCTCTGCTTCTACTAGCTTTGTGACTTGGCCCACACTGCTTAATCCCACTGTGTGGCATTTCCCCCACATATAAAATGGGGGTACCAGTAGCTCCTCCAAGGCTACTGTGAGGAGTAAATGACTTAATCTCTGTACAGGATTTAGAACTGTGCTGCAGCAAAATGAACAGTTATTGAATATCAACTCAACTTACAGCTACTGGGTAGAAACTCTTTTGCTTCTGGCTTTGGGAGAATGTGCTTCCATCTGGTCCCCCACACACACACCTTTAATGGGAGTAGAGTACCTATTATTTAAATTGAATTTTAAGCCAGGTTCAGTGAGGCAGGAAAATGGCTTGTGACCAGGAGTTTGAGGCCAGCCTGGTAACACCTTGTCTTACAAAAAAAAAAAAAAGAATTTTGAAGACATCTTTTAGTACCTCCAAGCCTGGATATTGCTGAGTGAGTGAGTAAATAAGTGAGTAAGTAAAAGAATAAATAATTTATAGGTAAAATACCAAGATAAAACCACACTGAATAATGAACAAACACTTAAACAACAAAGGATAGGATTGTTAAGGAGGTAGTACTAACAGGAGGGGGAGGGTAAAGAAGGATGAATGTGGTTGATGTATTTCCTACACATGTATGGATATGGAATATTGAAACCTGTCAAAGTCATTTTAAGAAGGGAGAAGAGGAAGAATGAGAACAATGGAGGTGTTGAACCAATCGAGGTACACTATCTGCATATATGGAAATGTCACAATGAAGCTCCCTGAACACATATCATAAACTAATAACAACATTAAAAAAGAAGAAGAAGAAGAAATGAATGAGGTTCTGACACTGACAGTGAAGATACCAGGGCAGGGTTCCTCAACTTGTTACAGATGAGGAAGTCAGCGTCTGGGGCCTTATGTGACTTGCCCCAGGTTACTCAGTGAGTCCTTATTAGAGCCAGACCTAAGCCACCACCTGCTTTCCCCTCCTACTGCCTGCACTCTTGCACACGTCCCTCTTTAGCCACCTCTTTTCCTAATGGCAAGAATAGGTAATGAAGAGTTGCTTGCTGGGCACCAGTGGCTCATGCCTATAATCCTAGCTACTTGGGAGACAGAGATAGAAAGATCACAGTTGCAGGCCAGCCTAGGCAAATAGTTTGTGAGACCCTATCTCAAAAATACCCAACACAAAAAAGGGCTAGTGGAGTGGATCAAGTGATAGAGCACCTGCCTAGCAAGCATGAGGCCCTGATTTCAAACTCCAGCACTTCAAAAACAAAAACAACAACAAAAAAAAGAAAGTTGCTCAATTACCTAGGGAACAATGCATCCATTTCCTGAAGCAATAGCCTCTTCGGCCTTTGTCTCTAACATGAATGACTAGGTAGACACAGGTTGTGAATTAAAGGAGCCAGAGCAGGGGAGAGTGAGCACTTATTCAGGCAGTTCAAGCTCTAGCCCTGTGTGTCAGGCAGGGCCTGCCTAGAGGACCCCTGAGCCCCAGGCTCTCTATCAGTGTGCATGGGACAACAGCTGTAGTTTTCTTTGAATGTAACCATCAAGAAAATGAACAGGTGGATGTGAACTTCTGGGGCACACCCAGAACTTCTGCCCACCCAGACTCTCCCTGCAGAGGCCCCAGGGGCCCACTCTAGAAAATTCCAGGCTAGTTGGTTCCTAAAGCCCTGATATCCTCTGGTGCTAGGAGATGTGCATACAGAAACATCAAGTTTCTTAGATACAAGAGGGTGTGTGGAAATCCCCACTGGCCAGCTGGGAAGGGAATTAGGATTGGGACATCTTGTCAATGTGGTATGGAAGAAAGCACATGGCTGGGAAGTCAGAGAACTGGGTTCAAATCCCAGTTTTTTCACTTGTCAAAGTATGAGCTTGGGCAAGGTATTGAGTTCTATACATCTATAAAATGAATTGGTAAGTAACGACATGGAGTACCGTTACAAAGGTTGGTAACATATAAAATGCCTGTCATGCAGAAAGACCTTAATGATTGGTAATCACTATTGTTAGGGGCAAGAGGCTTCTACTGAGCCCAAAGTCATTGCCTCCCCCTGCCCTAGCATGCTGTGAATTGAGGCCCTGCAGGGAGACCAGGGCTGAGAGAAGAAGCTGGGGTCTTCTAATATTAGGCAGGGCCACTTCTAGGATTTGAAGTTGGTCGTCATGCGAGGAATTTATGGGTTGTCGACTGGGGTAGATCTTGCACCCAGACTCATGCCTCTGACCCCTCCCTTCATTCACAGCAAATTGTCATCAAGGCTGCTAGAGGCCACCAGCCTGCAAATCCTTCCCTTCCTCCTCTCCAGCCCCTACCCTTGCCATATCATATTGCGTCATATAACTGTGTGATCTCCCCATCCTCCACTTCCATCCTCTCCTCTTCTAATCCTTCCTCCCCTCTGCCACAGCTCCAGTCATGCTATATTCAATGCATGTTGGGTCCCCTAAGATAAAACCCCAAATCTCAGGACCCTTTGGGATTGATCCCCTCCTCCAGACGCCTCAGATGAGCCCTCACAGAACCCTTTCCTTCCCTGGTCTCCCACCACCCCTCACCTGCATGACTTGCCCTTGACTCATGGCTTGGATCACTTCTCACCTCTTTCTGAAGCATTGCTGTGTTTATCTATCCCCCAACCAGCTTTATTTATTCATTTCACAATCAAAATGAACACTCCAAAGGACAAGAGCTGGTCCTCCACAGTATTCCATCTGCAGCTTGTTTCAGAGATGAAAGTCAGCAGGAGGGAAGGAAGGATGAACAGGTAGAAGAATGGGCACGCAGCTGAATAAAAGCAGTTGTGAAAAACTGTCTTAGGAAAGAAGCCAGAAACAACTGATTAAAATGTAGCTTTAGAGAATTTCTGAATTTTCTCCTAAATCTGCAGAAAAGGGAGTTGATTTCTGTTGTAGAGATCTCAAAGTGCTCCCTCACAGCTGCCAGAGTTTGCACAATCATCACCTGTCACTTTGTTCTTTTAACTACATGACAACCTCTCTTTCACCTTTTCATATTGCAAAGACCCTGGGGATCATATGGGACATTGTACAGATGGGAAAAACTGAGGCCTGGAGGAAGAAACAGCCTTGCTCAATATCTCCCAGCAAGTAATTAGCAGGCAGGGGCTGAAAGGCAGGCCTACATTACAGCCTGAGGTAAGCAGGTTAGGATCAGTGCCAGGGAAAGCCACTTACTTCCAACCCTGTACTTCATGAGTCCAGGTCTCAAAGGACAGATCCAAGAAGGGACCAAGCCTTCCTCATAAGAGACTGACAACCCCAGAAAGCTGGACTTCTGAGCTCTGTAAGAGCCTCCTGTGAGGCAGGAACTATGCCGAGATAACAGACACCGCTGAGTATCAGCAGTGAGGAGTCTGGGGGAAGCAGTTCTATGGCTGAACACTTGTCCCGGGCCCATGCAGGAGGGGCTGCAACAAAGAATACCCAGGGTTGGACGTCCCTCTGTCCCTTGGCATGGGAATCAGGAATGGGCTCAACTTGTCAGTGGGGTTGAAAGTGTTAGAGAGCTGACAGGAGGTCTGAATTTCAGAAACTTCACCATGACAGTCAGAGATGGGGATGGCAGTAACAGATCTGAGATAAAGTGGGGGGGGGGGGGGGGGGGGCAGCCAGACTGCTTCTGGCCTAGAGCAGAGGGGGCTCAGGAGAGGAGCCAGGAAAGAAAGAAAAAGACGCTCAGAGTGTTCTTAGAAGGGTTGCACGGGCAAGCTGCTTTGCAGGGAAAGATCCTGTCACAGTTTGGTGTCTTTTTCCAACTGTAATTTTGTCCCTCCTGAAACAAAGCAAAAGCCACGCCTTGGCCGGACGCATAGCGCTAATCCCACCAGTGCTGGGAAACTCTTCTTGACGCAATGTCTGGCTCGCAGCCTGGAGGACCCTCCCTCGATCTCCCCTTCCCTCCTTCTCTCTTGGTGGCCTCACGGCCACTCGGCTTCATGGTTGCCCCAGAAACTGCCCGCGCTACGCCTCTGGGCCTTTTGCCCCGAGCCCTCTCCATCCCGTACCCAGGGGGTCCCGCATCGCAGCCAGTGCCGCGTGCCACGCGTGGAGGGCGAGGCCCGGTTCCCAGGGACCAGGCCCGCGACGGGGCAAGGTGAAAGCTAGAGTCCAGGGGCTCGGGGATCCGAAGCCATCCCTGCACCGAATCCGGCTCACCTGACTTGCCCATGGCCGGCTCTGTGCTCTGCTCGGCTCCCGCTGCAGCTGCGCTGCCCTGCGCTCGGTGACCCTCCCCAGCCGCTTGGCGGGGACTAGAGGGGCCGGGCGGCCACAGCCACTCCCCCGGCGCCGCCCGGCCCCCGCCTTATAAGGCAAAGACAGCTGCAGGCTGCGGCTCCCGGGGCCACCCGCCGGCTGCCCCGGGAACTCGCCCCGCAGAGGGGATTCCGACACTGCCAGGGCTCCCGAGGCTCAGACGCGGTGCTCAGGCCTCCTGGGTCGCGACCCTGAGCGGTCACCTCTCCCCGCGCCGATTGGGCAGATGCCCGCGCCTTCCACGTGGTTCGCGGGAGCTCTGTGACAGCCGCGCCTCGAGGACCCCGCTGCTCACTGTCATGGCGCGAGGGACTGTTTTGGTTGGTGCCACCACCAGAGATCAGAACCCTCCCAGCCTCAGCCTGCCCCTCGACAGGCACTCAGGCCGCCTTCCGAGTGACCCTGGATCTCGAAGGGGACCTTGGTCTAGGAGACCCCAGAACATATCTCGCAGCCGTGTGAGCCGGGTGGGATTGGGCACTTCTGAACCCCCTCGCATAAGCTGATCCAGGGAGGGCTAGTGGCCTGCCGGTTCTGACCTGTCCTCATGACCCTGGTGGCCTATCAGATCTAGCCAAATTACTCACTCCTGAAGTCTGGCTCCAGACCTGTCTCCTCGCTAACTAGTTTTTTGTTTGTTTTGTTTTTTTGAAGTACTGGGATTTGAACTCAAGCACCACACCTTGAACCACTCCACCAGCCCTTTTTTGTGATTTTTTTTTTTAATTCATATGTGCATACAATGTTGGGTCATTTCTTCTCCCTTCCTCCACCCCCTCCCTTACTCCCCCAGCAGAAACTATTTTGCCCTTATCTCTAATTTTGTTGTAGAGAGAGTATAAGCAATAATAGGAAGGAACAAGGGTTTTTGCTAGTTGAGATAAGGATAGCTATACAGGCAGTTGATCGCATTGATTTCCTGTGCACGTGTGTTACCTTCTAGGTTAATTCTTCTTGATCTAACCTTTTCTCTAGTTCCTGGTCCCCTTCTCCTATTGGCCTCGGTTGCTTTAAAATATCTGCTTTAGTTTCTCTGCGTTGAGGGCAACAAATGCTATCTAGTTTTTTAGGTATCTCACCTATCCTCATATCTCCTTGTGTGCTCTAGCTTTACCATGTGATCAAAGTCCAATCCCCTTGTGTGTTTGCCCTTGATCTAATGTCGGCATATGAGGGAGAACATACGATTTTTGGTCTTTTGGGCCAGTCTAACCTCACTCAGAATGATGTTCTCCAATTCCATCCATTTACCAGTGAATGATAACATTTCGTTCTTCTTCATGGCTGCATAAAATTCCACTGTGTATAGATACCACATTTTCTTAATCCATTCGTCAGTAGTGGGGCATCTTGGCTGTTTCCATAATTTGACTATTGTGAATAGTGCTGCAATAAACATGGGTGTGCAGGTGCCTCTGGAGTAACCTGTGTCCCAAGAGTGGTATTGCTGGATCAAATGGTAGATCAATGTTTAGCTTTTTAAGTAGCCTCCAAATTTTTTTCCAGAGTGGTTGTACTAGTTTACATTCCCACCAACAGTGTAAAAGAATTCCTTTTTCCCCTCATCCTCGCCAACACCTGTTGTTGGTGGTGTTGCTGATGATGGCTATTCTAACAGGGGTGAGGTGGAATCTTAGTGTGGTTTTAATTTGCATTTCCTTTATTGCTAGAGATGGTGAGCATTTTTTCATGTGTTTTCTGGCCATTTGAATTTCTTCTTTTGAGAAAGTTCTGTTTAGTTCACTTGCCCATTTCTTATTGGATCATTAATTTTGGGAGAATTTAGTTTTTGAAGTTCCCTATATATTCTGGTTATCAGTCCTTTGTCTGATGTGTAGCTGGCAAATATTTTCTCCCACTCTGTGGGTGTTCTCTTCAGTTTAGAGACCATTTCTTTTGTTGAGCGGAAGCTTTTTAGTTTTATGAGGTCCCATTTATCTATGCTATCTCTTAGTTTCTGTGCTGCTGGGGTTCGTTGAGAAAGTTCTTACCTACACTTACTAACTCCAGAGTCTTTCCTACTCTTTCCTGTCTCAACTTTTAGTTTGTGGTCTGATATTAAGATCCTTGATCCATTTTGAGTTAATCTTGGTATAGGATGATATACATGGATCTAGTTTCAGTTTTTTGCAGACTGCTAACCAGTTTTCCCAGCAGTTTTTGTTGAAGAGGCTGCTTTTTCTCCATTGTATATTTTTAGCGCCTTTGTCAAAGACAAGTTGGTTATAGTTGTGTGGCTTCATATCTGGTGATGGGTTTTTTTTTTTTTTTTTGAGATAGGGTCACGTGAACTATTTCCCCGGGCTGGCTTGGAATCGTGATCCTCCTGATCTCTGCCTCCTGAGTAGCTAGGATTACAGACATGAACCACCAGTGCCTGGCCTGGCCTCCTAGTTTTAACCCATGCTCCAGTCCAACTGGATGTCCTGATATTCCCTGTTTCCCCTGGATTTCCCACTCCTTGTCTTTGCTCAGACTGCAATGCTGAGCCACTGCCTGCCTGTCTCTTCCAACTCAAGTTCTACCCATCCCTGGGGGCAGTCTGTCGGTCATTCGAACTTCCAGAGACCCAGACCTTTTCCTGATCCTGGCTGCAGTATACTCCCGGTATTGGGGACAGCTGGTCCCCACCTCTGTGTGAGAAGATAAGGTGGAGAAGCCATAGCCTAAGTCAACTTGTGCTAGACCCCAACAGGGAACACCTGTGGGTAAGGGACTCTGGAAGCCCTCATGTAAAGAGATTAATTTAAAGCCTTTCAATAAATGGGCAGTGAATTGAACTGATTTGTTGATTAGAAGGGCAGAATTTGTTTGTTTTTAGTCTTGTTTTGAGGCAGGATCTCACTAGGTAGCTCAGGCTGGCCTAGAATTCATGATCCTCTTGCCTTAGCAGGGCTGGGCATTGCCCTCCCTCTTCCTTCCCCTGTGTCTAGCAAATACACTCACTGTATTTGAGTACTTTCAGAGCTAGAGGGGGTCATACTGCTGCCTACTCTGATTCAAAAGGGACTTCTGGTGCTGGGGGAAGATCTAACCCCCTCTGGCCAAGTCCCTGTTTCATTTGTTAACAAATCCCCACTGAAGTGATCAAAGTACTCAGAACGAATTCCATATCACCCCTAGAATCTCTAGAAGACTATTTCCGTGTAACCAAAACTTCAAGGTGGAGACAGCTGAGCACAAAGGAGCCATTCTGGGCATGGAGGGAGTTCCCTCACTCCTTGTTCAGCGATCTTGAGTCCTGGAGGTGAAAGGGCCAGCAAGTGGGCAGGGCCAAATTCCTGACTCAGTGGCACCTGTGGAGTCTGGGTGGGTGGATTGCCGTGGGCTCTTCCAGTTGACTTTAGCAGTAGACAGGTGCACAGAGTACTGAATGGACTTAGGGCAGTGTCATCACTGACCCCTACCAAGGGCTACGGACTGGCTTGAAAGAGGGACACTCGCCAGCCCAGTGGACAGAGATTAATAACAAAAAGTAACCAAGGTCAGACCCAAAGAACAGCAATTGACCCAATTTATGTTGGATTTATGTTTTATTTAAGAACTCGGCTTGGGGGGAGGTGTTTAGTGCATACACACACACACACACACACATATCAATAAAATTGAAATTATGAGATTTCCTTGTGTTCTCTTCTGGAAGTTTAGCCATGGTAAGTCTTATATTCAATTTTAACTTTTACATCCATTTTGATTATGCTTTGTGCTGTGGAGTAAAGGTTGTGGTGCCCTTGCTTTTTATTCTTACATAATGTATGAATATCCAGTTGCAGTATCATCTTGAAAAGCTTGTTCTTTCTCAATTGACATATATATAACGTTTTATATATATATATATATATATATATTTGGGCCCTCTATTCTATTCCACTGATCTATATATGAATACCACACTGTCTAGATCACTGTAGCTTTATAATAAGTCTAAAGTCAGGAAGTATAAATCTTCTCTCCATTTTTCTTTTTAAAGTTGTTTTATAAAGTTTAGGTCCTTTGCATTTCCACATAAATTTTAGAGTCAGTTTGTCAATTTCTGGGGAAAACAAAAAACAAAAGCCTGTTGGGATTTTGATTGGGATTACATTGAATTTATATTTAAACCTGGGGAGAATTGACCTCACAATATTGAGTTTGCTGACCTATCAGCATGGCATCCTTTCTATTTAGATCTTCTTTAATTTCCCTCACCTATGATTTGTGGGATGTTGTTATGTAGTTAGTTTTTGATTCTTGTAAGGTTTTTTTTTTTTTTCAGATTTGGGACAAAGTTAGTGTTGGCATTACAAAATAAGTTGGAAAGGGTTTCTCCTCTTCTATTTTCTGGAAGAGTTTGTGAAGAATTAACATTATTCTTAAATATTTTCTACAAATCAGCAATGGAACCATTCAACAATGAAGGTGTTTGTTTCTTTGGGTTTTTCAGTGGGAGATTTTAAACTACACATTCAGCTTTATGAATAGATATAGAGTCATTCAGATTATGTACTTCTAAAGAAAGCATTGCATCTTTTAAGTCATTTGTCCATTTCATTCATCTAAGTGGTTAAATTTACATGCATAAAGTTATAATATTTTCTTGTTATGCTTTTATTGTCTATATGATCTGTTATGGTGTCTGTCCTCTTATCATTTTTGATATTGGTAACTTCTATAGTTTACCAATGTAGTTGAAGCTTCATTATTTATAGAATTTTCCCACTTGTTAAGATTTATTTGGGACCCTCAAATTAATACATGTGGTGTTTTTGTGATCATTCACAGACATGTACAGAGTAGTGAAAAACTGAGTTGCACGCTTAAGTCCTCACCTGAGGTTGAACAAAGAGATGGCTGCTTTCCTGTTTCAGCTGTCATGCTGTGAATAGTGTTCTTCCCACAGTCTACTCAGTGTCATGTTTTTTGCTTTTTTTTTTTTTTGTCTTTTCTTGGTGATTTTGTTGTTTCGAATGGCTCCCAAACATAGTCCTGAAGTGCTCACCAG